TGTGAATTAGTGAAACAATTTGGGCAGATTTTTGTAGAATGTGTTTATATTTCTTCTGATTAAGTCTGACTTCACTAAAACATTCAGTAGAAGTAATTTACTCAACAACACAGTGTAATCAACAGTGTTGGGCAAGCTACACTGCATGAAAAGTGGGATTTTCGTCAATATGCGGCACTTTAGATTGTCGTGGAACTTCAGGTTAAAAAAAACCTCATACCAACACTGAAAGTAAATAGTTTACGGCAATTTGCAGGCTTCGCCGAAAACTCCCGTAAATTGTAAGAAATTGACGTGGACTTTCTGAGGCAGTGTTCCCCCCATGCCTCCCCCCCATGGAATTCTAGGGGAGGCTTTAACATGTAAATGAACATGCTGTGAGCTATACAAATGCAAATCAGGGTTGCAGGGGGGGCGGGGGGGGGGGGGGGTTTACTCCAAGTGACATTTTTCTAAAAGGTAAGAAAATCTCTGATACAAAGAGATCAGGCTCAGTATAGCCTCTTACATTTTAGCTTGAATTGATTTATTTAATTAAAGTATAGAGACCAAAACAGATCTTTAGCTGACAGAGCAATACATTTAGAGCAGTAATTATTATTAAAAAAAAATTGCATTTAAGATAAAAAATAAAATGTTGTCTGTCAGTATGCTCAATTCACAATAACTTAAGTGGAAAAGTTTCAAGATATGAGTCTGAGATGATTCACTTTATAACATGGCGCATTATCCTGTTGGAAGTAGCCATCAGAAGATTGGTACACTGTGGTCATAAGGTCCGGCCAGGTCAAGATCCGCAATTGCAATCACACCAAACAGGAAAAAGAACATCGACAAATTCCGGTTCGTCAAATTAAAATATAGCAGCAACAGATCGGTGACTAGAAATTATAGCACAATTCTTATATATAAAAAAAAAAAATCTAACACCGTTTATTTAAATGATTGGATCCAAACTATTGGTTATTCACCAACGAGGAAGCAGATTTCTCATCTCCATCAAAATATTTATTTTATACCGAGGGACTTAAACTTTAATCAAATCCATTCAAAAGAAACTTCTTATTACAGGAATGAGAAGAGATGCTGAGTTTGGGAGTAGAGAACAAGTTAATTCAAAAAAAGCAGTTTTCAATTATCCTTATCCCCGTTACAAAAATCTACAAATATATATATATATATTTGGGCAGAAACTGAACATATGCTGGATGAGGGTGGGATTTTTTTAATATGTCATATTAAATTAAGCGCTCACAGGGTTCATACAGGAATGAGTGACTCTAATTTAATGCTATTTTAATGCTATTAGAAATGATTTTAATGCCATCAACAAGAACCATGTACACAAGTTATTAGTGTACATGAAATATGAAGGAGCTGCAAGCAGAGTTCCATGACTCCTGTATGTATGTAAACACACACACACACACACATATATACGTATATATATATATCCTCTAGCTTTTTCTCCGCCTGGAGCGATATAATATATCTGACGAAATTGTTTTTATAAGCATTTTTTATTAAAGAATTATAAATACTTCGATAAACATATTTAAATAATTTTAGTGCCAATTAAGGCCTTGATTTAAAAAAAAAATTTATGATTTTTTAATTATTTTTATTGATCCGCGGAAACCCTGGTTCATCTCGCGCATGCTCTCTACGATGTCCAAGAAACTCAGAGCGGCGCGGTCTGCAGCCACAGTGGAGGATGTATGCTTTGCTTTGTGCAGGCGGTCTGGAGCGGAGTATGTGGGATTTCGGGGTAAAACTCCTCTTGGACGCGATGGCGACTCTGCATCGAACAAGACGAACTCAAAGAAGAGAAGCTAGCGGTAAATATATGTTCGATTACTGCCTGCTAAGCTAAAAGCAGCCTAGCCTAAGCTACGGCTAATAGCAGCCTAGCCTCAAGCTACGGCTAATAGCAGCCTATCCTAAAGCTACGGCTAATAGTAGCCTTGCAAGAACAAGCTTTATTAAAGTGTATTTTTTGTGATTCACAGGAAGCAGTACGCCGTCTTCACAACTCAGAGACTAATTGCAGGCGCTATGAACCGGAGCAAGGGTAAGATTTAAAGAATATGCTTTCATTCTGCGGTAAAAGGCAATGGATACGGATGGATACCGATCATAGCTGTACATTTTGTTTTCACAGACCTCCTATTTGCTCGGAGCCATATCAGCAAGTCCAGATTTGCACGATTTTGATAAAGACGACATTGTGTGTAAGTGACTTGTTTTAATGTTTTCTCCTTCCTTGTTACTGTGACTTGCGTTTGATTTTTTATTTATACCACTCTCATTTAATTGTTTTCCAGCTGCCTGTAAGACGTATTTTGAGACGGTACGCAGGAGCTTCAGATATACGCAGCCAGCCAACACGTTGCGTGCGGAGGCTGCTCGGAGTCGGGCCAGAAGAAAGAGGGTAAGACTTTATTTGGTGACTATTTTTCAGGTGCATTGATAGATGTGTTGTGTCCATACGCAGTGCGCTGATTCATTGTTTTTTTTTTTTTTTCAGCTGCTGAAAGCGAGGCAGAGTGTGCTAGCAGATGAGGAAGTGGAACTCTGGAAGTCCGCCACCGTCGGCCTCATGTCCGACGAAGAAGATGGCGTCGTTGGCGGTGTCTCTGGATGGATTGTACGGTCGCCGCCATTTCGTAGGCCGGATCTCACTGAACTCTGTGTTAAGCTGCAGTCCCGGTTAGAAGCGATGCCTTAGTACAGGGCCACGCACAGTAGGCGTCTGCACATCAGACCTGCCTCGGAGGGAATGCTGCCAGTTACCTCCAACCCCGAGGAAGCAAACGAACCGTTCACGGAGTTGTAATTTTTAATACGCATGTGTTTGGATACGCGTTGTATATAGTTTTGTGTGTTTTAATAAAGCTCTTTCTTTGCATAAACAGCTTCCTGGCAAATATTCATTTCCTGTATAAATTCATTCATGTCCTTGATGGTAGCATAATAATTGTGTAGTAGTGTAGAATAACATAAATACACAGCATATGAATGAATAAATATATGAATGAATAAATATATGAATGAATAAATATATATATATATACATGTAAATTTATATGTAAATATATATATATATGCCAACCAATCACGAGCGACTTTACTTGTTTAAAAAGATTCAAGATTCAAGAGACTTTATTGTCATTCACATCACGTGTTAGATGAGGTAAATGAAAAGAAGTTCCGTCCAATACTCAGTAAGAAAATTAAAGCCTGGCGTGGCCACGTGTGGTTTTGCTGCCAATCACGAGCGATTTCACTTGTTTGAGAATAGTGGTTTCAGCCAATACTGAGTAGGTTATTCAAGCCAGACCTGGCCAGCCGCGCGGGTTTGCTGCATTCATATGCTAATTAGGGCCATTAGTACAGCTGATCGCTCTCCACATACGTCAGAGTCCGTTTCCGACAATCTGTGGCACGACAAACGCGGACAAGCACGGGTTGCAAATTGTCGGAAACTGACGAAAATCAGGGAGATCTGCGGGAGTTTACGGGGACGAAAATCTCACTTTTCATGCAGTGCTACTTGTCCAGTGTAGTGAGCTAAGCTATCAGTTACTCAACAATAAATTAAGCTTCACTACACCAAAGCTACCACCTAAAGAATTATAGCAAGCTAAAATACACTAATGTGTTAACAGTAGCTTAACTACATCAGAAGCTACTTAACGTGGTACCAACCTAATATCAATTAAAAATGAGTCTGATACACTGGTTAAAATATTTATTAAAGATCAGTCAATGACATAACACAGTGTAAAAATTGCTTTATGATCAGGATAAAAAAAAAAAAAACTAAAGTAATTACTAGTAGACAAAAAAATAAACAATCTACTGTTATTAGAACCAAATTAGAGGTACTGTGTAGTGTTCTACACATGGAGACATGGCTATGAGTTTGCATTCAATGGACATCTCTAGGGAAAACAAAACCCTACAAAAGGCATCTTATTTCTTTAGGGTCTCCCTTAGAGAAAACTTCTTCAGACCTCAATTAAACAGTCGATTCAAGTAACAAATGAAACTGTTTACAAAAGAGGTGAAAAAATAAAGAAGCTAATTAAGAGATATATATACATTTATGTCTCACTGTATAATTTAATTTCTACCTACATATTTATTCATTGTATTTTGGGGGGTAATTAATTGAATGTTCATTTATTTATTGAGCATGTATTTATTTATGTATTTATTTTTATATATGGGAGAGCTGTTCCTCCATACCTAAAAAATCTTATCTGTGCAAATAAGCCGTAAGACATCTGAACACATACTTTTTATAAGAGGATTCAACAAGTTTCAAAATCTCTGAAGATAAGGCCACGGTGTGGTAGCGACAGTTGGCTGCTCTTCTCGCTCTGCTCCTGTCTCCTCCTCCATCCTGTGTGTGTGGCTCTGTGTGTCTGCATGTGTCTGTGTGTCATTCTTTGAGTTCCACTGCAGTACGCATGTTTCGTAGACACAGACAGGAGAGGCAGAATAGAGGCTCATGCGTGAATGTCCAACGAATAACTCCGATTGTTGTTTCAAAAATAGAAAACCTGCTTTCATTACTTAGTTATGCCCTGGATTTTGTAGTGTTTGTGGACGCTACGTCGCTACTTGATAAAAACAATAACATCACTACTGGAAAGTTACTTGATAAATAACGCAGCGACGCTACGGTCAAGCTACTGGAAAATGTAGTTAAACTAATAGCTTCGCTACATGTAGCGGCCCTACTGCCCATCACTGGTAATCAACTAAGTGTTGGTGGGATTAGGTGAGGTATAAATAGACAAAGCGAGAGAAGGTGGAAATGAAAGAGACAGCAGGAATGTGATTGAAATTAATACTATACTGCGCTGGTAAATCAGTGGCATTAGAAATACAAAAAAATTCAAAGACACCAAAAACATCATGTAAACACTAAAAAGCTGATTTAAGCTAAAAGAAACCTTGGGCATTACAAAATAATACACACAGGTAATAATTTTTTTCCCTTTATGATTGAACCTGCAGTAAATGGTTTTTTTAGCTGCAGGTTCTTTTTAAAGAAGCCACCAGTTTCTGAACAGCTCAGGTTTTTAGGAAGTTCATACCAGAGCTGAAGAGCCTAGAATCTAATTGTTACCTCTAGGTTAGTTCTGGTCCAGGAAACAATGAGCAATAAAGTCTCTGATTATCTGAGGGGTCTACATGGTTCCTATCAGCAATTCTGAAATACTTTTAGGCCAAAGAGCATAAACCTTTGTTATTCAAGTTTTAACTACCATGATTACCAGGAAAGATGTTGTTCCACAGTGAAGTTTCCTCATTATAATAAAGCAGAAAACTATAACAGAATTTAATGCAATGGGCTTAATATTCACCACAATGGATGATATTGAAACCAAAGAAAAATCATATTTGACTTTACTATTTAATTGATGTTTCTACACATTTTAGAGGAAATATTTGAACCTTTTACTTTTCCTTCATTTATACATTCAGAAATTATGATAAAGCAAGAAATGCAGTGTAAATTCTATATCCTGATTTTAAATAAAGCACGATATCAGTAAAAATACCTTATTTTCATTTTTTTCATTTAAAAGACAAAATTATATCTTTACAATTTTATTGTTAATAGCTATATCTTAAAAAACAACAACTTAAGATTTAATCTTAACAGCATAAACTTTGTGAAATAAATATAGGTTTTAAGAAAAGCACCAGTAATAGAATAACAATTACAAAAAAAATGAAAAATACAAAACCAAATATTTAGTAAGAAACAGCTCCTCCTGTTCAAGAAGTTTAGAAAAATATTTTTTTTTCATATAATTACAGTAAAACCAATGTTGTTATTTATAAAGTAAAACAGTTTTCAACACAAACACTTTCCTTCAAAGTAGATATTTGAACTCTAGTTCAAGACTGATAGTCTGGAAAATAGCCAGACTATGGGTGTTTTTATTCATTCTATTTCTAATCAGTAGACACAGTGTGAAGGATTTAAAGTAAAGTTGTTAACAGTTGTTAATTTCTGTGTTGAATGTGTTTGTTTATTTTTTTTTCATAATCACAAACGTTAAATGATCAAAGTCATCGGTACATAAAGAGCTGCTCAACTAAACACAGAAACAAAGCTGTGTTTCATCTAAGGGTCTCCTGTTTGTTGGTTTGTTTTTCTTTATCTTGTCATACCCAGACAAGCATCACCTGGAGGAAATGACCCTGATTCACCAGAATCTAGTTAAATTGTTTTTTTTTTTTTAAGCTATATCACCTGCTGGGGTTAATTATATAAAAAAAGTTTCCACTTTGCCATTTGCCAATTTGATACTCATAAACAAATAAGACACTTAAACAAAACAACATGTAAAAGCACTATAAAATTAAAGCATTTACAAAATACAAGATAAGAAACAAGGATGTTCCTGATTAAAACATAATATCTACTAACAGCACCTTCTAAATCCTTATGTTAATAAAGTTATTGATGTTTATGACAGTCTTAATCATTTCCAGCACTCCGACTGTCTTAAAGTGGACTATTGATTTATCCTGACATGAAGAACTCGGCTTTAATTTCACACTTTGTCTCATTTATTGTTGGTATCTTATGTTTTGATGTTTAAAGTCTTTCTTGTGTCTTTATGGTTGTTATTTTTCTGCCTCCATTGTATTTTTGTCAATTTGGTCTCATATTTCAGTTCAATGCAATGGACCATTACTTTCATCATTGTTATGTTCTTCACGATGTTCCTGGTTCGTTGCTGTTCCTCCTACTCCATCCATTAAACTCGTCCCCTCTGCTGCCCTGCAACAAAATCCACCATCAAGGACAGTTTAGTTTAAAATGAACAATGATGTATATTTTGGAAGTCCATTTTATTTTCTGTGTTCCTATTCCAATCCAAGTAAGTTACAAGTTTTTTTGTTGTTTTTTTAATGTGCCTTTTAATTTATATGAGGGTTGGTTATGTTTCTATTTCTTTTTTTGTAACAAACTTAGTCCCCCATAAAAAATACTGGGCTGTTCTTGTCCTCTGTGGTTTTAAGAAGATGTTTGGGAAAAAATCAATTAGGTCTGATTGAATTCTTATCTTAACCTCATAGTAAAATGTAAATACATTAAAACTAATATTTCTCCTTTGTTAATAAAGAGCCATTTATATGTTTACTTTAAACATAATTAAAAAAAATACTATTATCCAGAGTACCATGAGACCTTTAAGGATGTACTTACGTTGGCCCTGCATTAACCCTTGGTGCTTGGCCGGAGCGGTTTCCTACATTACAGAGAAAAAAATCAAGAACAAACATCAACCAAAGGAAAATGTGTGCAGTAAATTTAAAATAGAACAAAGAATGATTTTAACTTGTTTTTCTTACTACAAACAAAGACTGTCACTATTATGATTATCACTGCCACTACAGCTCCTGCAATCGGACCACCGATCAACATGCTCTCATGACGTGAAGTAACTGGAAAAAGGAAGAGGCACAAAGTTTTGCTTCTCTGCATAATTTATAACTCTCTTCACTTATAAATAGCATGGGTAAAATGTTGAGCAATTTGTCACATTTGTGATTCTAACCTGTTTAAATTAGCAGAGGATTAGCTCTGGATATTTAAAATTTGTTTTCAACAAATCTTTTTACAAAATTAAAGTTAATAAACTATACTCCAGGGTAAATGTGACTAAAATATCTGAAATTGTAACAAACAAAAATCCTTGTTCTCACCTTTTAGGTCACCTGGTTTCCTATAAGTGGACGTCATGTTGTTCCTCTGAGTTCTGACGGTGCAGCTGTAGGTCACATCAGGATCATCCTCTAAAACCAGAGAGCTGCGGATCCTGTAAAGCTGATCCTCAGTCTGATGGACTGTGGTTGTAACATTTAGAGTGGTGTTGGACAGAGGGATGGTGGACCAGGAGAGTTCAGGTTGAGGGTAGATTCCCTCTGAGCTGCAGATGATCTGGTTTGCTTCCTCATAGATGATAACTTTAGAGACGGGAGCTACAGACAAACAAAATGGATTTTAAGAAACTGTGTAGCGCGACAGCACAGCAGCTTAAAATCTGTGTTAAACTTTTCCAGTAAGGAAGTCCTACCTTCTGTTTTCAGGTTAACAAATGATTCTTTATTTCCTCTGTCAGTGCTGATGTAACACTTGTATCTTCCTGCATCTTCAATCGTCACTCCTGTCAGCAGCAGGGAAGCGTTTCCCTTGGAAAATTGATCTTTAAACAGTGATGTCCGGTTCTTAAAGTTCTGCACCTGGAGTTCCAGCTGATCTTTGTCCTCATAGTAGGAATGAACCACAGAGTTTCCATCGGACTCTTTGATCCAGTGGATGAGTAGTTGAGCTCCATCCTGGAACTGGCAGGGTAACAAGCAGCTCTTTCTGAAAACACAGGTCACCTCAACATCTGCAACAGGAAAAGGGAACCTTTAATGTCAAATTAGGTCAAATAAATTTCACTGTATTAAATTAAGTTTATTCTTGTAGACCAGGAAATGAATAATAAATCACTTTCCCAATCTCCAAATGACAATAATGCTTATCAAGACCATGATAAGATAAATGTCGACTTAAGATGACCAACTGCATTTATGCAGCTGGAGGCAAATAGAAAACTTCAATCTGGAGGTTTATAAGTTTACTTCATACAAAATAACACGGGACATTTTTAATTTTAGTAGTGCTATTATAAACAAAAAAAACAACAATGAGAAGAAAACTATCAATTCATGGATCATGATTTATTAAATCTAAATAACAAAAAATGTCTCCCATCTTTAAAAGTGCAGCAAACTTCAGAGATTTGAGACATCTGTCCTAAAGGTACTTTGATTTTTACTGAACCCACTTAGAACCAGGACAGAACAATCTCTCCTTATATGGCCGTTTTCACTTCTTAGAGCTATGATTGGTTGTAAAACCACACCTTCACATCAGCTGCTCTCTGAATTATTACTTCATCTGACACATTAGTTACCATGGTGATAGATCCAGGAAACCTGGTTACTTGATTGATAGTAAACCTTTAAACTACCTTATTAAAAAACAAATCCAGTTTAATAACATCCTTCTCAGTCTAATGCTGAGATACAATTATTGTGTTTATGGAGGAAAAAATCTTTTTTTTATAGTATTTTGTGAAAATCAAATTTATTTTTTAAGTAAAACTAAAGAGCACAAGAGGCTAAAATCTTTAATATATTAGGACATTTTGTTCCAGCAATTTTACAATTTTACATGAAAGTTTGACTGATTAAAAGCAATCATTTCTGGCACTAATAGAATTGCTTCACAAAAGATTACTAAGGTATTTATTAAGGTACTTTAAAAAGTATGCTTAATTTAACTCCTCATGAATTTACAGGACAGGAGAGAAGATGGAACAGCATTTATATATTCACTTTTTTTTCTTTAGGCCTACATTTGTTGTATTTTTTTTTCGTCCAATAATAAAATGTGTGCAGATTCCTAAATGACACAGCTGGGTGTGGCAGAGAGAACTGGTTCTGCTGATCTCACAGTTTAGCAGAGAAAAAGGTTTCAGTTTGTGTTTGTAAAGATTCTACTCAAAAGCTCAGAAATAATTATTTTTGCTGCTAAAGAACTAAATAAATCTATTAATCAGATGCACCTGCTGGGTGCTCTCTGTTCATCTTATTCTCTACACCTCCTCAGCTGCCCTTTAGCTTGGCTTCCACAGACTAACAACACCAGATAATATCTGGTCCAGATATTGAACGCTGTGTATGAATCACTGTCAGGCATTCTTGAACTGCCCATCCGCCTTTTATCCACTAAGTTTCGGTTGCTGTGTTTTTGTCTTCATTCTTGTTAGACTACTCATCGGTTTCTTCATTTTAGCTAATGATAATGGTTAAAGCCCCATGACCGACCGCCACAGATTCTTCTGTCTGAAGTCTGCCTGTGTTTGATACTCAAATATCCCATAGACTCCCCTCTGATCTTGGTCACTCAGCCCTAAACTGAGATTAAACCTGCATCTCCTTAAGAATCTACCTGCTGCAACTTATTTACACCCTGGCTGCTTCCTTTTATGTTCCTGTCTGTGAATGGATTTCCGATAAAACACAATTCTTTTGGAGCAGCTAACTGAAAAGAACAGCCACCCATGGGTGTCTCTCTCGCTCACTGTTTAAATGTTTTTATATGTACATATCTGGTCTTCCCCAGGCAATTTTAAATGAACTCCAAATGTAGGAAAAGCCAAATTATGTTTGGCAATATCACTATTAATTATTAACCAAATAGGAACTCAAAACAGAAAATCTCTATTAAAAAAGCATAAATATGCTGGAAAAACACAGATATAGAAATCCACAAAGCTTATAAATGGTGTCCTTTTTTCTGACGGAATGTTGCATGTTTTAAGTTATTTAAACAAGATTAACACACTACATAATCTCTTAGCATGTATTATATAGTTTAACTGAAATTTCTTTACCTCCACAAGTAGCTGTGGAGCAAAACATCCTAAATATGAGCCACTGAAATATAGGATGTTTGTTTGAAATAGATGTGTCTTTATTTGCTTATTCTATATCCTTGAAAAAAATGTTCTATTCCTCAAAACAAATCTTTTCCATTTGAATACCTTCTGTTTGAATGTAAAACTGATTTTTAGAGCTGAAAGATAAATCCCTCTTCTGTCAGAACATAATTTGTTATGGTATTTTCTCAGTGTTAGGAACCTCCTGGTTCACTGGTGGTTGTTAAATTCAAATTAACACAGGCACAAGAAATCCTGTTTAAGTTCCCCTCTGATTAAGAAGGTGTAATATTACAAAGTTTCACTCACCTTCTCCAAAAACAGACAGAAGAAAAGTCAAAAACAGCAAAATTCTTCGATAAATGTTCTCGGACATATTGTCTTTCTGATCAGCTGTCTACTCATCCCAAGTTGGATATAAATAATGGTAGTGTTACAGTCACACAACAAAATATGTGCAAATGCTGTAGGTCTACATTCCATGAAGAACCAACGAGCTACAGGCTGAAATGCCTTCGCTACCACTTCCTTGCCTAAATGATCAGGAAACAGATTATTAAAATAAATTCCTAATCAACAAGGTGGCTTCTGTCACTGACACCTGGTTGGCCTCCCTACACAATTGTGGACTAGGACGTCTCTTTGAAGATGTAATGGTGCGTACTTCACGTACGTGTTGTACTTCAAATGGGGCCCACTCAGATAATGTTACCTATTGTTGTGTCGTTAAGCCATTGCCTAGAAACCCACCGAAAAACAGAAAAGTATCAAAAAGGCCAGTGTACAGTAATATATACCATCACCACTGTTGATGATCTCTTCAACCAGTCATTCAGTCATGACAATCCTGATGCTAGCAGGATTAGATTTTAACGTGTTTTGAGCTCTCTTTTTAAATTTATCACAAATTTTATTTCAATAACTGTTTTAACACCAATATGAGATTAAAAATGTATGTTTGAAAAGAAGTTCCCTTGTGACTAATACATATTAAAACTTTGTCTTGACCACCCCTATTGTTGAAAAACATGTTATTCCCTCAGGAATAATCACAAAATGTTAAGAGTCATTTATCAATAAGTTATTGATTTTTTTGATTTGGCATATCATTTGATAAAATATTATTTGACCAACATCTGTTACCTCTTGGATTTATATGGTGAGTCAGTTTGAACACATTTCAATTCCTCTAAATTAGTTTAAAAGATAATTTGATCTTATTCCAAAATCTTAAGGATGACCTTGGTTTATCAGATATAACATGCATTGTCAACTGTTTTATAATAAATATTTTACTGAAAATAGTTTTCCATCATGTTCATTTAACTTACTCTTTTCTGTGTATATAAGCTATATAGTCTTTATTGAGTTTCTCTTGCTTAGTTATGAATGAAATAATTACTCTGAGTTTAATTATTTTCAATAAATCCTTCTATTATGAATGGAAATTTAGTGAATTTCTTTTAAACGTGTGCAGAGTGAACCATTTCACATTGGATTTAGCTTGAATCACACTTTTATCTGTTGTTTAATGTGTGTTCACTCATGCCAAATGAAGGTTATTTGATTACCGGTACATAACATAAATGTGTACAACTGCATAACACATATAAAGTTGCAATGTTGTGGGCATTTAATACAATATACAATTATGATCAGTGTTGTATTTGCAGAGTTGAGAAAAGTCTCTCTAATTCCTAAACAGCTTTAATAATAAAACTAGATAAGATAAAATAGGCTTAGAAGGACATAATTTCCACATTCCTCCCTCTGCAATTATCTTTTTTTACTCTCCCATCCATCCATCGATCCATGGAAGTGTGGGATCCTGTCACTATGCCTCTGACTGATCATGCGCCTCGACTACTTGGCCAAAGGGATATCCCTTTGCTTGACTTAATTAGGAAATGAAATAACGTGGTTGGCTCTAAGGAGAGCGGAGACAGAGGACACACCGAGTTTTCCTGAACAAACCTGCTGCTGACCAGGTTACCTCTGGGGAGAATGTTACTATGGTTACTGAAACAGATGTTAAGGAAACTATCTTTGTGAACCGGAAAATTCTTAGTTTCCCTGATTTCAGATTAGAAAAACTTAGAGTTTTCAGTAAACCTGGGGTCCAATTCATGAGGCAAACTAAAAAACTTAAGTTTTCCAAACGTTTTTTTCCCTCCAGCTGAAAAGGAAAGCAGTCGTTGTTATGGCAACACAATGACACCTCTGTGTGGCTGTAACCCTGAGGCACAGGTTAACAGAACATCAAACATATAACAGGGGTGCTTAAAACAAATGTATATGGTCAAATAAAACTATTTTAAAGAACAAAATCCATTTTAGAAGTTTTTTTTTCATATATTAACTTGTAATTTTCTGTGAGTGTGACGAAGATAACATGGGAGTTGTATAGAGATTCCCAGGCTTTTACTTTGGTAGTTCACTACTACGTTTCGGTAACTTAATTTGCATTTTCGCAAAATATTTAGTTTGTTAAATAAATGTTTTTTTTAGCTAAATATTTTTTAACAAACTAAATATTTAGTATAGAGCTTAATAATGATTTAACAAACTAAATATTTAGCTACAAACTAAATATTTATTTAACAAAGTAAGAGTTTTAGAAATGAATGAATGACATAGTCAAAAAACAACTTGGGAAAAAAAAAAACCTTACTTTTCTCTTAAAACAAGCTAAATAACGGCACCCCATATAAACCTGTTTCTTTAAACTGACCACTGCAGGTAAAGTAATCAGTCTGAGTGCTGATATTACAGCACCACTTACTGGAAATGCACAAAACAACTAATAACACAAACTGAAATAATATACCCAATTTATCTAATTGTTCAAATAACAATGACTTTAGACTCGGCTAATAAAATCACATAAATATGATAGAAAATATCATTCATAAAATATAAAAGGCATATCTTAAAAAATAGGTTTAGTTTTTAAGATACGATTAATGGCGGCTTTAAATCTAATTTCTAAGTTTTACATAAGCAAGCAAAGGCGATACAGTGATCTCAGTTATCACCACAATGAATTATATATATTAAAACTGAAGTAAAATAGCATTTGACTTTCATATTTAGTTGTTTCTATAGAAACAACAATAACACTCTTAAAATGTATATATACATTTATTGATGTTTCCATGTTTTGTTGAGGGCTGCATGGTGGCACAGTTTGTAGCACTGTTAGCTTGCACCAAGAAGGTTCTGGTTCATTTCCTCTTCTCCATGGAGTTTGCATGTTCTCCCTGAGCATGCGTGGGTTCTCTCCGGGTACTCCAGATAGGTGTCTGCAACCCTGATGTAATAAGCAGGAGGATATGGAGGTTTTGTTCCCATTTACATCTGGAAATGTGTTCTTTATCAGAGGTAAAGCAACAAAGTAAATATAAAGAGTATATTCTGCTTCTTGATAAAATATATATCAGTATAAACCTCACTTCTTTGTTGTTTATTAATTAAAAACAAATAAAAGGTGTCTTTACTAAACTATTATTTTAGCTTTTCTAAGAAGCAAATATATTTGAAAACTTACTGTTACTGTCGTTTTACTCAAGTAAGAATATAAGAGTATAAAGTTGCCATCCAAGAAAATACTTTAAAGTGAAATAGCATTCCCTAAAAAGGCTACTTAAGTACTGAGTAACTGAAATATGACATCTGACCTGTAACTCTATATAATAAAGACAGACAAATGTGTTAGGATATGTTCTAATTCTGTATTTTAATACTTTAATAAAATAAATAACACAAACTAATTTTATTGGAAAAATACAAACACCAGGCAGAAGAAACAATTTACCAAGACAATTTTATTTTTAACAGTAAAACTTACAAAACCATTACCTGCAATAACTATATTCATTCCTTTGTGTATATGAGCTTGACCTCATCTATTCACCATGACACCTTGTCATGGTGAGTAGGTAGGTAGGTAGGTAGGTAGGTAGGTAGGTAGGTAGGTAGGTAGGTAGGTAGGTAGGTAGGTAGGTAGGTAGGTAGGTAGGTAGGTAGGTAGGTAGGTAGGTAGGTAGGTAGGTAGGTAGGTAGGTAGGTAGGTAGGTAGGCAGGTAGGTAGGTAGGTAGGTGTTTACAAAATGTAATAATGTTACTCATTAAAAAAATAAAATATCT